ACAGTCAGTAGTGTTGTTACTTATAATATTATAAATCCATGGAGGTAACAACAGTCAGTAGTGTTGTTACAGTCAGTAGTGTTGTTACTGTTACTTTTCTTTGTTATTTATTTCATCATTTACTGTGAATATGATATTCATTATATCTGTGTGTGTGTGTACACTGTATGTGAAAGAACTATCAGTGATCTTATGTAGATTATGCACTGTGTGTGTGTGTGTGTGTGTGTGTGACTCACAGCATTACCTGTCACATTCATTCCCTGCTCTCTCATCCCTGCTTTCTTATTTCTCCTTGTTTTCTGCACGTGCGGTGCCACGTCGCTCCCGGCCAATCAGATTGAAGCTTGCAGCCCCTATCTGCAGCAAACTCTTCTACAACTGGCTGGGGAAGGGGAGGCTAAAGTGGAAGACTTATCTGGGATTAACACAGATATGTATAATCAACGTGCAATAACACTGTGGAGTGAAGTGGAATAAACAGGAGGAAGAGGAAGAACGATAGGAGAGGAAGTGGAAGAGGAGCCGAGAAGAAGAGGAGGTGAAATAATGGGACAGAGAAGAAATGAATCAGGTGTACATAAAAATGTTAAAACAATGTTAAAACTTTGTTTTGTCTTTTTCTGCTTCGACCACTGTAAACATTGAACTGTGATCACTTTCAATAAGTCACTGAATCAACTCAATTCAGAGGTGAAGATGGACGGACTGAGATGAGATGGATCTCGAAACGGATGAAACTAAACTGATCTCAAGAGAGGGCGAGTGAGGGCGAGAGAGGAGAAAGTTCCGTGCTGACACTTTTCTAATGACAATGGGCGAGGAGGAGACAGAGAGCCATCAGCTAACATTTAGTTTTCAGCCTCTCACTCTCTCTTTTAGTTCATTTGACTAACCTCTCCATCCACGCCACATTAACCAGTCTAATTAGGTCGGAGGCTGGATGTCCCTCCTTTCCTCTCATCGTCCACTCCTCTCAGCAAACTTTATTAAATTCATCATCAATCGTTAATGTGAAGTTGAAAAGATACAACCACACTTTAGTGTTATTCATACTGTAGAGAAAGTTCTACAGCGCTGAGCGCCCTGGCGTCAGTGGAGCCGCATCGATGTCCTACAGCATCAATGTCGT